CGTGATCGCCGTAGCTTGGATGTTGGCTGGCTGCTGCGCAATCTGTTGCTCAACAGCGCCACAGCGAGCGAAGTGAAGGCGAACGTTACGCGCAATAATGTCGCGGCGCAACGCGCACCACCGCCGCCGCCACCTACAACTAGGCGCCCAAGGCCTACAACTACAACTCCGCCTCCAAGACCGCCGCCACCACCACCACCGCCACTCAATCCGTTTTTCAACAAGTTTGCCTTATTTGCCAGTTCAGCCAATTTATTTACGCCACCGCCACCACGCTCTACAACTACAACAACCACTACTACAACAGAGGCTCCTACGACAGCGCCGCCACCACCTCCACCGCGACGTCCGCGTCCGCGGCCGAAACTACGCCCAACGCATGGCTACGATTTCGAATACTATTATCCGTCTGGGTTTGATGGCTTTGCAGAGCGTGGTGGTCCGCGCGCTGAACCTTCTGAATACGATTTCGAAGATGCGCCTGCTCCTCAGCCACAACCGCCGCCTCCTCAGCCATCCGCACCGCGCAAGACGGGTCGAAATCGTCAAAGGCCAGCACCTCCAGCGCCAGCGCCAACACAGCCTCCTACGCTGCCACCAGTTAGGCGTCGTCCAACAGCACCTCCAGCGGCTCCAGCACCGCCACCACAACAACCACAGCGCGCCCGAGTACTGTATCAGTACGCACAGCGAGACGGTAAAATACGCCAACTTCTAATTAAATGTCATAAGACTGGCTTCAATAGCTCACTTTGCAGATACCTCCTTCAATGATAACAACAATGATGCAGCCGAACCACCCGAACCCGCACCAGAAGAAGCAGACTTTCAGCAACAGGACGATAACAACAATGGGGGGCAAGATGGCGCTGATACCGCGAACGGAGCTGAGGAAGGCGACGATGCAATTGATGGGGATGATACTGCCGACGGCGGAAATAATGAAATTCCCAGTTTCGATATTAGCGCGCGTGTACCTTCATTTGGCAGTCGCCCTTATCCGAAGGCGCCGTCACCGCCAGCTTACGATTCACCATCGTACTATGGCTCCGATTCACCGTCTGCACAGCGCTTCACTTCTTTCGGCACTGGGACCGGGAGTGGCGGCTTGGGATTCGGCAGCACTTCCTTCGGCTTCAATCATGCTAGTCCTGTTAAGCGCAACCATCAGTTCCGTGATGCCTTCTCTGATTTCCATACAACCTACCACGGTGATCACTTTCAGCCGAGCGGCTTCAGTTCATTTAAGTAGCACTTTAACTGAGAAAAACTCTTAGAATTTTTAAGAGATTTTGTAAAAAAATATTTTAAACTGGTTCGCAATTTCAAGAACTTTTATGATTTTTCGGCTCTTGATAAGACCAAATTTTTTAGTAAGTACTTTTGTAATTTGTAAAAGAAATTTAAAAATAAAAACATTTTAAATTACTTTCCTGAGGTTCACAAAAAAATTAGGTTATGGTTGCGCGGAGCTTAGTATGAAGGCTGACTTCAAGTTCCGGTATACTTAAGTGCACCGGAAATGTAGAAAGTGAGCAGGAATTTTTGTTGGTGTAAGGAAAAAATGTATGTATATAAATATGTGTGTATTGACAGCTCCCACAGGTCAAACCTGTGCAAGTAATTGGAGGCCGACTAGCGCTTCCATGTTGAAATTTAATTATTACTAAATATTTTTATTGGAATTGATGCAAACGGACTCACCATTAAATTTACTTTATATTATATTTGAGAAATTCAGCGAAGAAGTTGGCCGACTGGCTCAGATTGCATTACTCACATCTACACAAGTATAAATCACTACCACAGCACATACCACGTTACACATATGTTAATTAACACACAAAGTCGCATACAAATATTTTACATAATTTTGTATTGATTTATTTCCATAAAAACTAGTAATTTAAGTATTTTTCTATCGCACGCACTAAAAAGGCGGTTAAAATTCGCGAAGCTTTTACACAAACTGACAGATTTGACAACGTATAGGAAACGGAAAGAAATGCCGAATTGACTAAAATCAACAGCGTTGCCGTTCTATGACTTTCGAGAGTAGTGAATTGAGCCAAAAAGTGGAAAGCAAAGCAACGTGGCAACGCTCGGCATCCCTCTTTCAGAGAGACAATTTGCTCTCTGTTTATATTTTGCCCCCGTTTATTCGCGCTTTATTGCTCTCTTTGCTTCCAGACGATTTTCTATTTTTTGTTTTGTTCTTTTGGACCCGTTCTTATCAGCTGTTTTGTTGTGCGCTGCCATTTTTGTGTCAAATTTTAAAAAGCTATTGATACCACGTGCCGCAGCTGGAAGCGATTAAGCGGAATTTAATCAATTTTTCAAGGATATTTTGTACAACATTGCGTGAAAATGGGTAAAAAAGTTTATAATGCGAGGGCGCGTCAAAATCCTAAAACCGTAGTGGACAATTCGGCGACGAAAAATGTAAGTTGAGACTCAAGAGTTGCTGATGCAAAATATGTTTAGTAACCCTAGACGCTATACTACTTTCCTACCACTCTTCTAGATAAAAATCGAATGGGCTGAAGGCGCTGCAGAAGCAGGCACCGGCTATGATGACGCCAATGCGCTGGTTTTACCCTCACAGAAGCGTGCCACCAAGGTGCAGGTGGAGAAACAACAACATGTAAAAATCCTCTCGAAGAAGCAACGTAAGCATCTGCAGCAAATTGTGGATAAGAAGAAGAAGAAGGAAGGTGTAAGTAGTGGTTTGCTTATAATGTAGATCCATTTATGTATCGCTCTTTTCAAATAGCGCGCTGAGCTTTTGCAAGCCTTGGCTGGCGTACAAATACCCGAGCATGAGCTGAAGCAGTACACTTCCATCAGCCAAGTGCAGACAGTGGGAGTTAAAAAGTTGCAAACGCTAGAAGAGGTACTGGCGAAGAAGCAACAGCGACAAACAGAGCAAGCAAGCAGCAATGTAGTGGGGAAAATTAGCGCAATTAAAGGCGCGGCAAAGCGCAAGTTGTTAATTGAGGATGAAGAAGCGTTGGCGGCAAAGAGGCGCGACTCTAATGTGATTAGCCTGGAGGCAGACGACGACAGTGACAGTGGGAGTGAGAGTGATGACGAAAGTGAAGTGGATGATGAAGAAAACAATATAAATGACAAAGATGCAGAAGAAATGCATGAAAAAATTGATGTTGATGTTGCGAAAGAGGCAATTCCCACGAAACTCGAAGAAGCGCCCTCAACGTCCACGAAGGTGACAGAAAAAGAAGATTGTACGAAAACTGGCGCCACAAAAAAAGCCGAGAAGCCCATTGTGCCGCCACGCCCCACCATTTTTGTGCCCGTTCATCGCGATGCAGAAGTGCAGGCTGCTCGTCTTAAACTACCCATCTTAGGCGAGGAACAGGAAATAATGGAAACAATCAACGAGAATCAAATCATAATTGTCGCGGGCGAAACGGGTTCTGGTAAAACGACGCAAATCCCACAGTTTCTTTACGAGGCGGGATACGCGCTGAACAATAAAATGATTGGCATTACTGAACCGCGTCGTGTGGCTGCAATCGCTATGTCCAAGCGTGTGGCGCATGAAATGAATCTATCTCAGCAAGAGGTTTCATATCTAATACGTTTCGAAGGCAATGTCACGCCACAGACACGGATCAAATTCATGACGGACGGAGTGTTGCTGAAGGAGGTCGAGAGTGATTTTCTGCTGCACCGTTACTCGGTAATCATTTTGGACGAGGCACATGAGCGAAGCTCCTACACCGATATACTGGTAGGGCTGCTGTCACGTATTGTACCTTTGCGCCTGAAGCGTGGCGATCCGCTCAAGCTGATTATCATGTCCGCAACGCTTCGAGTGGAGGACTTCATTGGCAATACGAAGCTATTTAAATATCCACCGCCACTATTGAAAGTGGAAGCAAGACAATATCCGGTGACTGTGCATTTTCAGCGGCACACCCCCAATGATTATATGCAGGAAGCATACCGAAAAACAGTTAAGATACATTCAAAGCTGCCAGAGGGAGGAATTTTGGTTTTTCTTACGGGTCAGCAAGAGGTAAACACACTGGTTCGAAAGCTGCGACGTACGTTTCCGTGCATAAAGAAAGATGACGCCAAGAAGGCTGGAGAAAAAGCCAAAAAAGTAGTTGATAAGGCGCATGTCTCTGAGAATGAAGGTATAGAAACTGTAGAGATGTCAAAACAGTTTGCGGAAAAGTCAGATCAGATAGAAGATGACGCGGAAGAGCTACAGGCCGAGCCTGCCGATGACGACTTGGGCATCGAATTCGACATGAAACGCGCTATCCGTAGCGTGAAGAAGTCTAAGAAGAAGTTCATGTCCCAAATCGCGCTGCCAAAAATCAATCTCGACGACTACAAACTACCCGGTGATGATACAGAGGCCGATTTGCACGAAGCGCACAATAGCGATTCGGAGGCCGAAAATGGTTCGGAAATGTCCGAAGATGAAGACGATTCAGATGGGGATGAGAATACAGCCGCCCATATTGCCGCCACTAAGCAACCGCTCTGGGTGCTGCCTCTTTATTCGCTGCTCTCGCCTGAGAAGCAGAATCGCATATTCCAACCGCCGCCGGAGGGCTGTCGCCTTTGCATAGTGAGCACTAACGTGGCTGAGACGTCGCTCACCATACCGAACATCAAATATGTGGTGGACAGCGGTCGCCAGAAGACGCGCCTCTATGACAAAATCACAGGTGTCAGCGCCTTTATCGTCACCTACACCTCTAAAGCTTCCGCCGATCAGCGTGCTGGACGTGCGGGTCGTGTCAGCGCCGGCCACTGCTACCGCCTCTACTCGAGTGCTGTCTATAACTACGACTTCTTGGATTTCAGTGAACCGGACATTCAAAAGAGGCCAGTCGACGACCTCATGCTGCAGATGCGCTGCATGGGCATTGATCGTGTTGTGAATTTCCCCTTCCCCTCACCGCCGGATACGGTGCAGCTGCAGGCGGCCGAACAACGCTTGGTAGTATTGGGTGCGCTGGAACGTGTTGGCGAGGCGAAGGATTGCAAAGCCCTGCCGCCGATGGTCACCAAACTAGGGGAAGTTATTTCGCGGTTCCCCGTTGCGCCGCGCTTTGGCAAAATGTTAGCGCTTTCTCATCAGCAAAACCTGCTGCCGTATACTGTCTGCTTGGTGGCGGCACTATCAGTGCAAGAACTTCTCATGGAAGTGGGCTTGAGTGAGCAGACTGAAGATGGCGACAACGCCAACGCATTTGTGCGCAACAAGTGGCAGAAGAAGCGCATCAGCTGGGCCGCTACGGGCAATTATCAGTTGCTGGGCGATCCAATGGTGTTGCTACGCGCGGTGGGTGCTGCAGAGTACGCCGGCTCACAAAGCAAACTTGCACAGTTCTGTGCTGAGAACGGGCTGCGGCCAAAAGCGTTGACCGAGGTGCGCAAATTGCGCGTACAGCTCACAAACGAAATTAATTTGAACGTGACCGGCGTGGACTTGTGTGTAGATCCGGCAATGCCACCCCCCACAGATGCGCAGGCACGCTTCCTGCGACAAATACTGCTCGCTGGCATGGGAGATCGTGTAGCACGTAAAGTGCCGCTAGCGGACATAGCCGACAAAGAGGAGAAGCGTCGCCTGAAGTACGCCTACAACTGCGCGGATATGACAGAACCGGTTTTCATGCACTCCTCTTCGGTGCTGCGTGGCCAACTTCCCGAATGGGTGGTCTACCAGGAGGCTTACGAAACGCAGCATGGCGACGGTACAAAAATGTTTATCCGCGGCATCACCGCCATCGATCCGGAATGGCTGCTGCTATACGCGCCGCTGCTCTGCAACGTACGTACAATCAAAGAGGAGCCAATGCCGCGCTACAAGCAGGCGGACGGCAAGGTATATTGCTTTGTGGACGCGACCTTCGGCAAGGCTGGATGGGAGCTGCCTCTAACTGAGATCGAAATGCCGGCGGGCGAGAAGGCGTGCAGGTGGGTGCATATGAAATTTCTCTTTAGATTGCTTAAGCATAGTTAAATAAATTCCTAACAAAAATAAATTCTTCTACGTCTTTGCACAGCTACTTTGGCGTTTTTCTGCTTGACGGTCAAGTCTGTCCGGCCTTGGCTGCCTACAAGGCGAAGTTGAAGGCTACGCCGCCCTCGCTCGTCAAGAGCTGGTCCAATCTGAATGAGAGCGTTGTGCGTTTCAAGCGTGCTCTCATCAACAAGCAGATAAATACGTGCGATAAATTGCATGCAGAGTGGAATCGAAATCCGAACTGTGAGTAGGGGTCTTTTATTATAAAAATCAAAGGTTTATATCGTTGTTCTTGCAGTTTTACTTGATGAATACCAAAATATGCTATACAACGTCACGCTGGCTGAATTGTCGCCTAAATGGCCACCATTGGAGAGCTGAATGAAAAAAATATATATTAATTAGTTAGTTATGTAGATGAAAAAATTCTATTAGTTATTAACTTGAAAAATAAATGTTTGCAAACAAATTTGTTTGTATTGTATAATTTATAAAA